GCAAGAATCATTTCCTGGACAGTTCAAGCTTCAGGGTTTTGAAATATAAATGTGTACCTTGCTTTAGTTTTTAGGCTGCGGACTGTGTGTGTGTTTGTGTGTGTGTGTGTGTGTGTGTGTGTGTATGTGTGTGTATTTTTTTCCTATTTATATGTTGAATGGAATCTCCCATTTTCATTCTTAAAATTACCTTTCTTCCAGTATGAAGTAAATAGATCAAAGGATCTGAGGTATGTAACTGGCATGATTCTGCTCCTAAGGGATCTGTAGGATCATAGTTAAGTGACTTAACTGAATTTAAACAAAATCCCCCAAAGTAGATAAAAAGCCAAGTGGCTAAATAATGTAAAATAGGTAATTTGAACACAGGAAAGGATCTACTCGTTTTCTTTTGTCTCTTCTCCTGGGTTGTTAATTAAGTGTAAAAAGAATGCAATGGCCCCTCCTTTTTCTAATCCGGCTTTTACATTTATTTTGTGCCTTAAAGATTACAGAAATAAACAGGGCCATATGTTTGATATTGTTTACTTTTCTCTTTCAGCCTTTTCCCCTTTTAATTTTTCTTCATCTTCACCAAATATAGCATGTCTCTTCAAGTAATTTTTAAATCAAGGCTTTTATACATGTGTTATATATAATGTAACATGTTATGTGTAATATATGCACATATATAGATATAAAAGCCTTGGTTTAAGTATATAGAGATAACATAAGTATAAATTATATGTGTATATATATATTCTCATCTGTGGCATCACTACATTTAACTCCAAAAATCTGACTTGCTATTCTAAGACTATAGATACATTTACTTTTAGTCACTTTTTAATTCTATATACAGTGGACCAAGAGAAAACCATGTTGTGTAAGAAAGTTTCTCTTCCAACATCTTTTAGTATCTGCATTGCACACTGTTAAAGATTATAAAAACAATTCTAGTTCACTTTTATCACCCAAAGCATAGTATTCTTTTAAGGAAAATAAACAGTAAAATTCACAAAATATAGTGAGCTAAAATATTAATAAAAAGGGGAAAGTTCCATTTCCTCTTTCTTCTTTCTCTATCATCTTTCCTGTTCTAAACTTTTAACTTTGTTTTGGTGGTGCCAAGGTGAGTCTGATTTACTCTTTTGTCGACTTTGAATAGGATTTAAAGAATATCCTTTTTGGGGTCATGTACCTCTTGTGTATCTCCATCTTTCAAGTTAATAAAGTAAGCTTTGGTCATTGATTTTCAAATATGAGTGGCAACTCTACTGAAACCAGGTATGTGTTTTAAGTGTAGATAGTTTAGGATGGAGAATTGGGTTAAATTTTAGGAATAAGAATGTGGTTGGGAATATTTTGAAAGGAATTTATGGAGTTTGTGTAATGACTTTTCAGGACATCTTCCATCACAATAGTTGAATTCCTATTTCTGCTTCTCAGAATAGTCACTTGTTCTTGCTGGAATTTTAAGAAGAGAGCTATCCCTTTAGTAATGCTGTTTTGCTTGCAAGTTTAATGGCTTTTTATAAGGAGTATTCTAGTTGTAAAGAATTTCTCTTTGGAGCCTTTTCACTGGTCATTGTAGCTGTCATCTTGAATGTAAAGTTTGATCTATGATGAGAAGCATACAGACTGCCAAAATGTAAATGCTCAGACCTTCCTTTGACTCTCAGAAAATAAGACCACAATGAGAATTAGTTTTCCATGAATCAGTTTGCCAACCAACCATAGATATTACTCATTTTAAGAATAATGATGATAAAGAAGTTGCCAATGTCATGACAATAAAAATTTTAAAAAGAAGTAATTAGTGATCCTCTAGATGTATATGAACATCTGTCTATATCTGCATGTGTATATGTTTTTCCCTGCAATGATTGCAATGTTGATTATGTGTTCAGGATCATTCCTGTCTACAGAATAGAAAGCTCACGCTCAAAATTGTTCTTTATTGGCCGGTTTTATGGTCACATGGTAACAGTTTGCCTACCTAGTCTACAAGAGGTTCCCTTGATGAACTTTTTTTTTCTTTACTAATTTTTTTAAAGCATTTGTGACATTATATAACCAGGTTAAGAAAGCCCAGTAGAGTGAAACTATTTTTATTATTTTAGTCTATGTTGTATGTTTTCTATCAAAGGAAAAAAAATTCTCAAATAGTATCCCTAAAAATAGGTTTGCTTCAGTAAAATAATTGCTTAAAAGTTTTTTAAAATTTCCATATGGTGGCAGGAAGGTACAAAGAGAGATTGTAATTATTTAAAGAAAAAGTATATTTATTATAAGATGGCTTCCCCGAATTAGCCTTCATAGGATTTTTGGGCAACAGCTATATATTGGATTTACTGAAAGGTACTAGGCTAGAACACTAGGCTTTTATTTGTGTCTTAATGTTAATGGGTCTCCAGGGGCCCAGACTTTTTGTTTGGTTTGTTTCTTTTGGGAGAGAATGGAGGATGCAACTAGAAATAGTTACTGATAATAGACTTTTTAGTAGCAATTCACACTCCATGGTTACCTTTTAAATTTCATGTTATCTTTTTACAAAGTATTACAAATAAGCTTGATTATCCCATTTATCCTGTTTTGAGAATGCAAGTTTGCTACTTCCTGACAATACTTGTATAGCTATTGCCTTATTGGAAATCATAGAAACTTCTGATATTTCAGCCTGAAGTGCAGAATGTTTATATGGCATTTAAAGGTAGTGGTGATGTTTTGTTACTTTCCACTTTGCACTTTGTCAGAGTAATTTTCACCATTTTAAATGTAAGCCTCTTTATAAAATTATGTTCTTGCCAGTAAGTTTATAAATCGCATACAAAGACAATATCTGTTGTTAAAGGTTAACATTATGAGGTAACTTTATCCCTCCATATCTCTGGACTCACTTTTTAAAATATGCAGAATACTGAGTACTGTTTAACATAGTATATGAGCTTATGAGAAAAATGGAGATCTTCCTTGAAAAGCAAATATTTATTGGGATATCACTTGCTTCACAGAAGTATATCCCACTACCCACATCCCCACTGCCAGATAATAAATACCTTGAGGAAAAAAAAAAAAAAAAAAAAAAAAACCCCAAAAACAGGGGTTATGAG